AAGAAAGAGATACATAAATCCTCAAAGTTTCACCCATATTAACAAAAACACACTCCTGAGCCCAGTTCAATGGGGAATAGTCAGCTGACATCACACTGAGCATGCTCTCTGAGCCGGGCACCAGAGGAGGAGCTGGGATATGAAAGAAAGTAAGTCTCCCTTCTGTTTCCAGGGGCCTGGAGCCTAAAGGGACAAAGACATTGGAAGCAGAACGAAGGTATGGCAAACTGTGTTAAGAAACGTGGAGCTGAGAACAGCTGAGTTTCACCTGGGGTGCCTCCGATCGTTTCAAAGAATAGGCAACATTAGAACTGGGTCTTTAAAAGTGAACCAAAGTTTATTCAACAGTACCTTCAGCAAACGAAGCAAATGTACACAGGTAAAGAGCTGTGAGAAAAGGTGGGCTGTTAAACAATGGCAAACTGTGTGACTGGTGCATAAATGGAGATGTGTGTGTGTGTATGTGGGTGGGGTGCATATGAAAGACATGCCGGGGACAATTCCAGCTTAGGGGTTTGTATTTTACTCTGTAAAATAAATGGGAAACTCTTAGAGCAAAAGAGTAAATGATCATAATAATGTTTTAGAAAGAGCCCTTTTGTGGCACTATACAAGATGATGGGAAGAGGGGTAAACTAGATACAGGGATATCTAGTTTGGAAGGTGAAGGGGAACTTAAATAAGATTACAGTCACAGCAAGATGGGTAGAGAATCATGAAGATTTAAGAATAGAGTTGGTACCTAGAGATCAGTATTTTTCCAAATATTTAAAAAATCACAGTCCACAACAAGAAATACAATATAACATTATAATCCAGTGTACATGCTTTTACATGTGTGACTGGGCGTCCATAAGTACATGTGTGTATATACATACACACACACACACACACACAAAACAAAGAGTTCCTAAACACTGACACAGTGCTACAGCCCCAGGGCACTGTCATGCTTATTATCCAACACAAGCAAAAGAAAGCAACAAGAGGTGTTCTAAAATAGCAGATCTGTGCTACACAGGTGTTTCCTGTGTAAGGAACTACTGACTGTAAGGGCCTTGTTGCCTTGAGGCACTTAATGCTGCCTGTGTTACTTAAGTAGTGATTTATCATTTAATGTGAGGGCTGTTCCTCTGTAGTCTTTCTGGCTGATTACACTGCGTGGCTTAATTAGATATTCACACGCGTATATCACAGCCAGGCTTTTAGCAAAGCTCCTTATCTGTGCTACTGATTTCCATATGATATTTCTGGAGTCAGTCTGTTGCTACTCTTAAAATTAAATGAAAGAAGCTGCTGTATACAACTGTCACTTTGTTTTATAGGTTATTCTGTAAGATGCTTGAAGCCCTAGAGCATAGTTAAAAAAAAAACACCAAACATTAAAATGTGATGTTAATTTCAGTCTCCATGACCCTAACCTGCAGAGTCAGAGCCTTCTGGCCTGCTCCTTGTGGTTCCAGGGGCATCAGGATAGTGTACGCTTTCAGCACTGCGTGAATGCACATATGGGTTCTGTCCGTCACCTCCAACAGGAGTTTCCCAGGAAACTCACTTACAAAGCACTTTCACATGTATTAATAGCTAACCTTTACTGGGGCTTAGTGTTACACCAGTTGCTGAGCTAAACACTTGATACGTATTATCTCACAGAATCTTTAAACCAGACCTGTAAGTACTGTTCACTTTATAGGAGATGAACTGATGCTTAGAAAAGTGAAGAAATGTGCCCAAGGGGTGAGCCATAGACTCACATTTGTCTGACTTAACAAGCCAAACTCTTAGCCACTGGGGTTATAGTTCATTGTCCCTCTAAATACATTTTTCGGAGGCTTAGAGATGCCAATTGATTTACCTGACTATCAGCAAATGAATGGTAACATGAAGACCTGAGCCCAGGCCATCAATGTTCAGTCAGTTCTCCCCCTGCACCAACCGCCCCATACGGAATACCCCTAACATTGCCTGGGTCGGCAGTATTCACGGGCAGCAAGCACGTGGAAGAATAAAAGAAGGGAGAAAAAGCTTCTTGAGGGTCACAGATACAGAGTGGAGTTGGCTCTCATCCTCACTCCTATTTTACCACTTAAAGTCAAAAGGAAAACAGTAAAAGAATGCATTTTTAGATCTGGCAAGAAGAAAATGAAACTAAATAGTACTTTAATTTAAGGCAGCTGTATAATCTATATGCTAGGAGGCAGAGGAACAGTTCAAATGACAGAAAAGAGGTGGCATGTGGATTAAACAAGAACATGTGTTTAAATATTTAAAGACCATCAGAATCTCAACATGTGAAAGCCAGCAACAAAAATGGAAACAAATGAAGTTAATATCTTTCTTTCATAAGAGACTAGAATAAGGAAATACACAAAAAAGAATTCTTTGTACTGAAAGCTCTAAAATCCCATCCCTCAGTGAGAGAACTGTACAAACTTGTCCACCACGGTTATAAAAGTGCACACTGACCTAACAGATTTTAGAGTCCAATCATACACAAATCTAGAAAAATAAATCAATTGCTTTTAAAGTTTTTAAAAGTCCCTCTCTAAAAACAATTATGAATATCAAAGCCCAATAAAGTCTAACATGAATACTAAAAATTATGAACATTCAAAAAATAGGTTTTTGAAATCAAAATACGATAAAGCAATTGATCCCAATCTTCTCTTCCTCAACAAGCTATTATTTCAGCTCTATCTCTGGCCATGCTTGTTCTTGGATCTCTGCTTCTTTCTCTGGCCGCATACTCAAGAATTTAAATAATTACTAGGCTTTACGGAGCAGTAAATTCAATATAACGTTAAAAAAAACCCTCCTAATTTATTTTTTAACAAATATTTGTAAATGGTGATTCAAAGTTGGGCTATTTTTATTTAAAACTGCCATAGACCAGAGTCCCAGTCTGAGAGGCAGTTTAAATGGAACACTACTTCAAAAGCGAAATTCATTATGATGACTGTGCCAAGTGAAATTAGAAATCCACTAATACTAATTGGTTACATTCTGAATGTATTAAACATCTGAAGATATTTTTATGAACCCATCACAATTTCCTATTAACACCCATGCATGGCTGCACTTGGGATGTATCCACAATTTGACACAATATAGGTTATTATGCTTAATAATTTTCTATCTCTCAGGGTGATTGCATAGCCTAAAGAAATGAGAAAAGCTACAGTGTGAAAACACTACTTCTGAAAGGAAGGAAAATAATATATGAAAAATCTTTGAGTATACAAATAGAGGAAATATGGATTTATCTTTTCAACTTAAGCACTAAAGAGCTAGATGGTCACCATGAAAACCTAATATACAGCAATCAGAACTTGTCAGTTCTGACAAATTTGGGTTCTTCTAAATGGTTTTACAGATAGGGTCAAGGAGGATTAATGCAGACAACCCTGTTCACACACAATTTCTTGGCACCTCTGTGAGAAGCAGGAGGAGCTTCACAGAAGAAGGGGCCAGTGAGCAATACTGATGTTCATAAATCCAACTGGCAGCAGAGCAGAAGGAAAACCCCCCAGGTTTTGCATACATACATATATATATTAGAACATACATATGGCTGACTGAAAAGGAGAGGAAGGAGGGCCTCTACTTCCCTGCCTCAGAGCTACAGACTGCACACAATGTGTGCAGGTCTCTAGCTCACTGAAGCGTCATGCGTGGCTGGAGACAACCTAGGGAGACAGCGCTGTACAATGAGGGCATTGTTCCTACTCTAAGGTCACTGACGTATGGACCTCTGAAATGATGAACAACTGTACAGTGTTCATTACAACTATGAAAAGAAAATATTATGACATTCCTTACAGAGACAAAAGCATTCCGGGAATACCCTGGTGAGGGGTGGTGCCCAACCACAAGCAGGGCGGGGTCAGGAATGTCTGGGTACAAATGTGGACACACAGGACTGGCCTTCCCAGCCCCTGGTCGGCCTCTCCTCATCTCTGCTCCCCACCATTCAGGCAGGCTAGGGAGACATCTGCTTCCCTGCTGAGTTTTTCTTCTCATTTCACACAAACACCTTCTGCCTATTTGGCCTCTGTTTGATGTATGTTTTGTCTTCACTGAGGAGATACTCAAGGCCAAAGATAACATGGAGTGCAGTCTGTTCCACCTCTCAAAAAATACTTGTTGGGTGAGGAGGTAAGTAACAAGGCAGATTCCAATGTCAATGAGGACTTTCCCTACTGCACTAGATACAATGTTTCCAATGCAAAGCATTTATTTTTGCACATCTGCCCAATAGCAGCTCAATTAAAAACAGGCCCATCAGACTGACAATTTCCTTAACTGCTTGGTTCCTGTCATGCTGCAGAGAGCAGAAAAGCATTTAACAGCAGCCACAGGCAATTTTCCAGTAAGACTTGTTAATCTTTATACAGTTATCCTCATGCAGCCACCAAAGTAAACTTAATGACAAATCAGTTAAAATAAATTACTTTTAGGAACTTGTAAGGATCAGATAAAAAGCAAACCATATGTGACATCTCTTTGGTCCTCCTCGGTACAGCATACAATTGTCACCATCTGTGCTGTTTATTGTGTTTGCCCAGCCTATCTGCCCCCAGCTGCCCCCAGATACATTCTTTGCCCTTCTCTAACCCATGTGGACCCAGGAGGCTGACCTCACTGGGCCACAGGCCTGTACCTCCATCAGGTATGACCTTGTGCTCCAGCTGGGCCCAGCCCCTGGGAGGAACTGGAAGAGTGCAGAGGCTGGAGGAGAGCTCAGGGGACTATCCCCGACCCACTCAGAGCTCTTGCAGCCGCGCAGCCCCTCTTCCAGTGCCAGCTCTCCACAGCTCTGCTGTCACTGCTCCCAGCCGCTGCCATCCCTGGGTGCTTCATCAGCCCTCACGGGTCCCTGTAACTGCATTTCTATACACAGTCCCTTCATAATACCCTCTTCAGTCTAAACACCTGTTGTGGGCCATGACCCTGGCTGACACACTGTCAGCAGCTGATGGCTCCAAGGCGGAGTCACTTACATGAACCGTGTGGACCAGATCAGCCACCAGGCACTGCTTCAGCTTCTCATCATTGCTGGTCCCATGAAGCACCAGATCAGGCATGTATGTGGGGCAGTAACCTGCCAGAAGTGAGCGGCCAAAGTTTCTTACATTCAGGTTGCTGATGCTCTGAGACCTAGAAAAACATTGGCCCATTAGAACACACCATTGCTCTCTTCCCGCACTACGATGAGAACAAAAGCTCTGGCGACACAGCCACGGGAAAGGGACTCCGTGGCCCGTTTCAGCGGTCCTCCGTGAGCCGGTGATCTGCATGGGACAGCGAGGGGCTGGAAGAGGAAAACGAGTTTTTGAAATGGAAGGATGAAAAAAACAGCATTTTGAAGGCTGGTTACAAGTTTGTTCTTATACTTCACACTCAACATCTATCAGGCAGTGTGTGTCAGGGGAGTGAGGAAAGTGACTCTACCGGGGGTGGGGGGGGTCTTGCCGAAAGCCTGGCTTTAGGAACGTGACACATCTGCACAGGGTGGTGCTCACACTGTACGGAAGAAGAGAAGGCAGCTCTAATTACTGCTCTCAGCTCAAACCAAATCAGACTGATGGAGGGGGTGCTGAGGAAGAGGGGGTGTTTCCCCGCCACTTCACGCTGCGCTGACCTGCAGCAGAGAAACCGCGGGTGAGTGTAACCCAACACGTCGGGGCGATGCCCCTGATGCTGGCGTGTGGCCCCACACAGACGGCGGGAAGTTAAACTCGCTGCTCCCCCCCTCCACCTCCACACCTGTCAGCTACCCCCACGCGCCGCCTGGTTCAGAGATCCGACGCGCTGAGCCAGGGACCCCCTGAGCCAGGGACCCCCTGGGGAAGGGCAGGCCAGACATTGTGCCAGTTTGATGACACTTCTCATACTTTGAGGGGAAAAAACCTTATGTGTAAAAGACTCAAAAACCAGCCAAGAGCAGCTAACAGGACCAGGGGTGTTAGGTCCAGAAGCAGGGTTTGAACTCAGTTGTCCCCGCTTCCCAGCCTACTAGAGTTACCTGGGCAGAGGGAGCTCCACCTCCAAGGCTCCTTCTGTGCCGTCACCGCTGGGCCCGAGGTTCGGCGGGGCAGAAGCACATGCTTCGTCGTCACTGTCTCCAAGGGCGCTGTCCGAGCTTTCGTTTCTGGGAAGGTCTCCTGCAGCCCTGAAGTCGGCCTTACCGGCGGTGGCTTCCCCGGAGGCAGCCGCGGCCGCAGAGAGGCCAGAATCCTGCTGTGCCCGGCCGCCGGGCACCGGCTCTGTGGGAGCGCCTTCCGCCGCCTTCAGACGCAGATCTGCCGCCCCCTCCGGCCCGCTCACCCCCGGTCCCGCCACCCCACCGCGAGGCGCACGCGGCTCCGCACACCGGCGGAGCTGCCCGGCAGCACCCGCTGCAGCCTCGGTCCTGCTGCCTCTGTCCCCAGGGAAACCCTTCCCAAATGCACCCGCACCCCCGTCAGGAGACTGACTCTGAGGACCGCGGACATTCCTGCGGGGGCCATGTGGGAGGGGGCGCCCGGAAACCCGCTGGTCCCGAGCCGGGGCCGGGGCAGCGGCCTCCCTGCTGGTGGCCAAGGGGCAACTTGCTGGCTCTGGATACTGTCTACAGGCTGTGAGCCGCTCCTCCATTGTGTTGGTGCGGCTCTCAAAGTCAGACTCTGGAGATACGGAGCTTCCAATTTGGAAAGTGACCTTTTGTAAGGGAGGCCTCTCCCGGGGATGTCTGTCAGGGCAGGGCCACGCTGCGGACCGCTCCAGGGCCTTCTTAGGCATCGCCCCTGTCAACTCCTCACCGACAGTCTGCTGGCTGACCTTCAGTCCTGCCCCCAAACCTTCACAGCTGGAGAGTCTTGAAGAGCTGCCTTGTGGGGCCTCATTTTTACTTTTTTCATCCCTGCAAAGAGCACCCTGAGGTTCCCAGGAGCTGTCTGTCGCTGGCTCCTGGACCCTCATGCTGCAGGCCTCAGAATTCTGATCTGGCCTCTGGTTCCCTTCTTTGTTAGGTCTGGACCACAGGTCTCTAATGTCAGTGCCCTCCGGGGCCGCAGCTGGCCTGTCGGGCCCAGGGCTCCATCCCTCAGCCAGAGCTGGTGGCAGGACAGGGGGAAGGAGGGCAGGCTCACTTCTCACGGTGACTACCACATACTCAGACTCCTCCACCTCTCCCCTCTCCAAGGCTGTCGTGATGTTGCTCCCATTTAACACTTGTTCACCTTCACCGTGATTCCCACTCCAGGTCAGCTGGTTCTCTTGCAGCTCAGAGCAACGGAGAAAGTAGGTCAGAACATAAAGGATGCGCTGGACCAAATCCTTCTGCTTCCCCACCACCACGGTGCGAGTCAGACGCACTGGAGAGCCAATGGCTCCATAAAGATCGCCTGGAGAGCAAAGTGGACAAAAAAGACAGAGTTGTTTGGGGTGAGCATATGATGCACATGTCAGTCTTTACAAGAGAAAACCAGATGACTTCCACTCCCAAACTAGAATCACTTCTTCACACACCTGAGAGAGGCAAAGAGGCAGGAACTAGGAGTGACCGTGCTTTCGTTTTGCCCCCAAAATGGAAAGTCTGCCTGGACAGGCCTGGCACAGGCTGCAGCCGCTGCTCTGGGGGCAGGGGTACAGTGCTGGCGTGCACAGCCTCTTGCAGTGCTGGTGATGTCTTCCCAGGCAGCTCACTGGGTCAGCTGGCCAACAAAGCTCCCACCAAACCCAGCACCCTGAATATGCAACCAGATTGAATGCTGGATCTTGGAAACTAGAATTATGAGTTTTGTTTTAGAAGAATCCCAGGACAACAGGCCTTGGGGTAAATGCCAAATTCAGGGATATTTGAGTAGAAGTGCAGTGAAATCAAGTCAAAATACTTAATGAAATGGCCTGTTCAGAATTCTCTCAGTACACACAAAGTAGAATCAATCTAATTAACCAGAAAAAAATCACTTAGTCACAAATAATGAATCTGAATATTTTCTATTATTTACATGAAAATTCTACTGGAAAAAAATGTTCCATAAGTTATATCCTGACAAGTTGATTAAAAACTGCCTTATGAACAATGAAAATTTAGCTTAAAGGTGGAAGAAGGGCAATTGTGTCAACAAACCCAGCAGTTAAAATTATTGCATTTGATAATCTGATTATTACATTTGATAGATTGTGCATTTGATATCTGGATAATAATAATATTAACATTACAACAAAAAACCAACATTTACTGACTGCCCAGACACAGTGCTAAGTGTTTTACATGGATTTATCTTGCTTATGTCTCTACATAAACAGCCCTGAGTCAGAAGCCATTATAAAATAATCAGAATGTTGAAATAAGTCAAAACATGAAGACACATCAAATGAAGGAAAGAGGGTACATGGTCATATTTTTAAACAGGAACTAAGGAAGTTAGAACCCATCAGAGGAATGCTTCTAGGGAAAGGGAAGGCATTTTTACAAGAGCAAATACTAATTAGATGTAGATTAAGACAGGAAAAAGTTTGAGACGTTAGGAAGTACCTCCTCTGCAGACTATTCCCCAGAGTAAGGCGACTCCTCCTAACAATGTTTTCAGGACAGGACAGAAATGATATTAAACAGGCCTCGCCATAAAGAGACTAGATTGTAGGGTAATAGAACTTTATCTTTGAGGCTTTTGCAACTGTCTGAGAAATCACAGAAGAGTCCAAAAGAGTAACTCAGGGCTGTAGTCTGATGTTCAAGTACTTCTGTTTAACAAAACTGCTGCAGGGTATCACAGTCATTTCAGGAATTCATGAGATATTACGTTAAATCAGTCTTAATAGTAATAAAGAATACAAGCATTACCTATCTGCAATCTAGTAAAAAAAACACAAAAGAAAGGACACTCAACATGTCAATATTATTTTTTAGCAATGCATTTAGCTTTTGGTATTGTACATTTTCATAATAAATGGGAAAATGTAAAACAAGGAAAGCTATTAAAAATACAATTTATAATAACTTAAACTATGTAAACTATGAAGAGCAATGTGTGTGGAAATAAGGCCAAACTACATAAAATGATGCATTATTAAATAATATTAAAGATATAGTAGATCTTGAACTTAAAGGCAATTGTTTGAGTCCTGGACTTGCAAAGCTACTAATTTTAAAGTAGGTTCCTTTGTTTTCCTGAGTATAATTTTGCATAAGAAAGAAGAGGTTGCAGAGTGAAAGTAAGTAAACTCACCACTGTTGTGCTGTATGCTTAGGCACAGTTAAGACAGGAAACATGATGTTCTGTGTTTTAAAATAAACACAATTTAAGACACATCTATAAACTTAAAGAAAGATAGGAAATGGGAGAAAGAAGAAAAAGGAAGGGGTAAAAAGAGTGTTCACTTACAGGTGACACAGAGAGTGGTCACGGAGAGTGCCCCGTAGCAGCCAGTGCGCAGAGCGGCAGGAGGTGAGTGAGGGGAAGGAGCCGAGGAGAGCACAGCAAGGGGGACAGAAATGATCCAGGAAGGAGGAGGGAAGCACAGAGATGGGGGCAAGAGGTGAAGGGAGACGCAGAGGGTGATGGGTGAGAATAACAGACTGGGTGACACATGCAGAGCAAGGCAGAAGGGGAGGGAAAGAAAAAGGTATCAAGGGAAAGGGAAATGGTATAAAACAGAAACAGAAACAGAAATGAAGAGGAGGACAAAGAATAAGAAAGAGGGAGAATAAGGTGAGGAAAGAGAACTGAGAAGCAGAGTAGAGAGGATGACAACGAGACAAGTGAGAGAGGTGGGGACACGGAAGCACAAAGGGGCAAACGGAGACCAGGAGAGAGCTGAGCATCCGGAGGGGCTGCCACGCCTGGGCTACCGGCTGCTCAGCCAGAGTAGCTCTGAAGTTCCCCCAGTCCTACACAGTGTCATTTATTATAACCTTATTGTCACTTAGTTCAAACTATTTTCTAATTTCTCTTATGAAGTACTGTTTGGCTTCGGGTTATTTAAAAGGATTGTTTAATTTCTGAGGAGGTAGGACTCTTCTCATCATTTTTTGATTTGTACTCTAATTCCACTGGATTCTGAAAAATAAAATTTAAACTTCTAGGGGGAAAATAATGAAGAAATTTCAGACTTTACTTTCCAATGTCACAGACACAACCCAAGAAAGAAATACATTTTATACTGCAACCTCACAAACCCCTGGAAACAAATATTTTACAAAATATGTATGCATCACTCTGATATTTTCTATTCTATTTGCACCTTTTGAATGCTTTTTTGACCCACTTAAATGCTTCTACAACCCACCAATGGGTGGTGATCCTCACTGGAAAGCCCTTGTGTACAGCATGTGCATTAGGCAGAGGCAACGGCTGGGTCCCTGGAGGGAGAGCCCGTGGGAGTGGGAATGGCCTCAAGGGCTGGTTGCTTCCAGCTTCTCCCCCCTTCCTTGGAATGCCCAGGAGACAGGAAGATGTGGGCCCAGTGGTGATGTACATCCTGGCAAGATTCAGATACGCCTTTGAAATAATTCAAGATAGAATCTTTTCTAGTACTTAGTAACCTGAGTTAAAACTACACCTGCATCACTGTATATTCCTGGCAATTTATATTTTCTCATTTACTGTGACTTGATAAATATTTAATGAAAGTAATTATAATTGAAAGTGTTTCCTTTGTCAAATTATTGAAGCCCCTCGATTTTCTATAATGCTGGAAACTCAACCACCACTTACACTGGGTGTTATGATGCTATCACATGACTGTGTGTCTGGGCCTCAGCCCCTCCTCACACCACCCCTGTCCATAGCCAGAGCCCTGCTGGATTGCATGGGGAAGGGGAGGATAGGAGACTTTCAATAATACCTGTTTTCCTTTGGAAAAGGACTGAGCCCGTAGGAAGGCACTTTACCTTGTATTGTGAACATGGAATTAATGGCTCTCAGTTAGCTAAATTTCAAATAGGAAGCATGTCTAATTATAAATGCGTGTATCTAATTAAATGCACACTATCATTGTTTTTAAATGGGTGACCCAGCAGCATTAAACACCATGTTTCCTTAATATCCAGCTCCCTTCCCTTCATGACCTGATACTACATTTTCTCATGACTACTGCTCTATAAAAAGAAAAATAGGCAGAGCCAAGATGGCGGCATGGGTAGTTTAGTGGAAATCTCCTTCCCAAAACATATATATTTATGAAAATACAAAAAATACAACTATTCCTAAAAGAGACACCAGTAGAT